TTCTACATCTGTTCTACATCTGTTCTTCTACATCAGTTCTACATCAGTTCTACGTCAGTTCTTCTACATCAGTTCTACATCTGTTCTACATCAGTTCTACGTCAGTTCTTCTACATCAGTTCTACATCTGTTCTTCTACGTCTGTTCTACATCAGTTCTACATCTGTTCTTCTACATCTGTTCTTCTACATCTGTTCTTCTACATCAGATCTACATCTGTTCTACATCTGATCTTCTACATCAGTTCTACATCTGTTCTACATCAGATCTTCTACATCAGATGTCACCAAACTCCTGCAGCTTCATGTCTAGTCTCTGGTCGAGCTTTAATGAATGAACGAGCTCACGTCTCTTACAATCTGTAACGTTGCAGTAATTTCTCATCAGACGTCTTCTCTGGCAGAACTTAGTGAGTTGGCAGTTCAGACACCATCATTGTTGCTGTGGTCGTCTCTCATTTACCGGAAGTCTCCACTGGAAGAAGCAGAGACACGGTGCTGTGGTTGAGACGGAAATAAAAAATATACCAATGATAGAACAACAGTTCCAGAGTAAAAGTAAACTGCTGCTGTGTCCGTGTGACAGCGAGGAAAAACCACGATTTGGAGCGAAATGAAATAAAGCAGAGAAACACAGCACACACCGAGAACCAGCTTCGACAGCCTCAGACATGGATCCGGTGTGAACACAGCTCGACACGGAGCCGCGAGGACGCTCCGCCGCGCTCCATGTCACCAGCTAAGGTTTCATCCCTGCTCCTCCGCGTCTCGTCTTAAGCTAGTTAGCTGGTTTAGCTAATACAAATTTGAAGTTACCTTATTTTTGGATGATTCCTGCTTGACAGCGACGGTTCGTCCGCGAGGAGCGAGTCGTTCAGTCAGCACGATGTTTCCTAACCCCTCCGAGATTTTTACTAAGCGATAAACTGCTAAATTCAATTGATAAAATCAAGATTTAATCAAGTAATACCAAGTGGAAGCTCTTCATCGGTTCAGCCGTCTTCGCCCACATGACAATAGAGCATCATGGGGAATGTAGTTTTTTTTCCTTCTTCTTCCCCGTTGAGTGACAGCAGTTGTAGTTTCGCAGGGATGCACCACCACAGTACCCCCTCCCCCTCCCCCCCCACACACAGAGCAGTGTTTATCACCTTTTTTAATAAAAAGAATTTATTATAGTGACATATCCTCTGTTACATAAAGTCTGCTACAGCAAAGTATACTCCCCTTGCAAACACAAGTAAATATGGGTGGGAAAATCAAACAAAACAAAACAAAACGTGTCAACCTTGTAAATGATGTGCAAAATATCCCACAAACTAAATACAGACACATTTCAGATGACTGATCCCACACCGGCACGTGTGACTACAGCTAAACGAAGAACTCAAACTGGTTTCCTTCAAAAACAAATACCTGGAGGAGTGTGAAGTGGCTCAGGGAACAAAGTGCCGTCATTTACATCAAATAGGACGTTATCACACACATGGGGAGAAATGACACCGAGGAAAGATCTGTGGATTTCCTATACTCACTCTCTGGGATGATTTACACACAGGCAGCTTGGACTGAAACATGCTGAATTCCCAGATATAGTTTTCAAAGTATGTCCGAATAAATAAAAAAAAAGAGAAAAGAACTGCCATTGATTCCGCAATTACATTCTGCTCAACCTTTAAACTAGGAAAACAATGCTGCATCCAGTTTAAGGAAAACTGATTTCATAAGTAATAAAACGAAAAAGCATAAGAAAAAAAAATTTCAACTAAAAGCATATCATTTTAAAGAGGCATCGGTGTGCAT